TTTTATAACTGACACAACCATGGATAAAATGTCAAGAACAAAGCCAAAGCAATTATGGGGTCCCCTAGGGATAAGAGTCAGAATAGCATTGTTGATTGTGCTCATTACACTTGGCACCTTTCTGGTTGGATGGGGAGTACGATATCATGAAAGACATTAGTTCACTCGTAGAAAATGCCCACATCACTAACAAAACACCAGCTGTGTTTCAGAGACTTTCACTTATCCCCAGAGCCAAAAGATCAGTTGAGCAACAAGAGGAGGAGTTAGAAATACTCGTTCCCAAAGATGAGGAGGTTACAATCAAGATCATTCACCCCCCCTATATGCAGTTCTTGTATCAAATGATGAGATGGGTTTAAGTGATCGGAATATTTAAGTGATGGGAATTTACAATTTAGGGGAATCTCCAAATACACTGGATCCATGTTTTAGTCTGTACCAGAAACACCCCCGTTAAGACTATGGACAACCGACTGGTGACCTGAGCACAATTATTGAAAAGTTATTACAGTAGAAACAGGGTACTAACCCACGAGGACAACTGTATGTACAAACTCTATGAACAAAATTCCCCAACAGATTGTGGCGACTGTGCACAGATGTATCCAGTCACAAAAGTTACTATTGTTCTAAGTAATAGTGAGATTTAAAATATTGGAGAATATATGGAGACGTCCTTTTATAGTGTGTGAAACATGTGGTGCTTGAAACATGTAAGTATTTCAATTTATAGAATTGCAAATTTAATTTTGGAAAAAGCAATATAATTGGGAGTAATACATGCGGGGCCTTGGATCACTCATTGCAATGATGCATATTTTTGACAACCCATATCGTTTAGAGAGAAGGGGTCACTCAACCCACCCAGCAGTTGTTTTAAATCTTACTTGTAGCTTCACAGGGAGCGCACGGCACCAAATTATGAGTTTAAAAGACAAGCGCCACCACCTCCTGATGGTCATCCATTTAATCAGGGATGACCTGAAGTTTAGAGATGTTATTTAAAGTAGAAACATATCCGCCATAAGTGAAAATTCCTAAATTGAACTACAAACCATGGATGAAATAACTACTGTTTTTAAAATCCTTGATAGAGGAGGGAGTAACTGTTACATGCTCGGACACCCAAGGTTCCACACACTGTTAAAGGGGTTAGCATAGTTCTTTAAACAGACTAGAATTGAAGATAAATTAGTGAAATGAGTTATTGATATTCCACCGGTTTTCACACCATTTAAGGAACTTTATCACTGCATTAGAACAGACCACCCAAAGGTACTGAAGTAGGAACCATAAGTGATGAAATTCTCCAATTGTTGTAACTGACCAAAATCTTCTCCCAGAAATGACTGTCTGAAATGCCGTATCCCAGAGTAGATGTTTGATGGTATCATGGAACTAAACCCTTGTATGCAGTCTTGCTACAGGATTAGACTGGGACCTGTGCACTTGTACAGCCAGTGATGTTTTATATGCAGTACCAATGACAGTGGGGCAGTTAATCAACATGGCGAAACACCCCAAAACCAGTAGGGCTAGGAGACCAGTCAAAGGAGGGAGTTTAGGCTCCACAGTGTACAAGGATAGCATAGGGGGGCCCAGGGGAGTGCTAGATGTTAGTTGCATTCCATGTACCCGCACCCTAACGTACCGATTGATCACCACGGCCTTTTCTAGAAGAACATATTACTTTCATACTTTAAAAAGTATGAAAGGGGGGAGGGTACATTTCTCATAAGGGAACAGTTTCAATTGCTAGCAGAACAAGACGACTCAACCCATATACAGATATTGATGAAAATGAAGACAGTGTGTAAATGATGTTAAATGATATGGATGATAAATGATGAGATTGTTCAAAGAATGTCCAAATCATGTGATATTTCAAATGATGAAATCATTAGAATGAAGAACCAGCTACAAAGTGGTATTATTTTCCACTATTCTAAAAATAGTTTCTTTTTTTTTTATGTTTTATACTGTTACCAGTGATGCGATTTTAAATTGTATGTTTTTTATGCTTTGTATAACAAGTGCCTTAACAACTGAATGTGGTATGGGAACGGTTTCTGTGAAAGGGAGTAAGAAATGTTCCAATACCACAAGTTGCTGCTATATTGAATGATTAAAACTAGAAGTTATGCACAAGGGAACACTTTTATGTTTGAAGACCAGCCAAAGTATTTTTTGTATTTGTTGTATTTTTGATGATGGTTATTTAAACCATTACATTTATGATTTTATGTTTTTTGATATGAGATATGTACTATGCACAGTTCAGATGAACTCATTACTTTCAGTATTGTGTTCACACCTTAAAAGGTGTGAAAGGAGGGATTGTTAGAAATTAAAATTCAATGTTTTATGGCATGATTTAGTCTAAAACATACCGTCAGTTTAAAAGCAGTCAGATGAAGAACTTATTACTTTTAGTATTGTGTTCACACCTTAAATGGTGTGAAAGGAGGGATTGTTAGAAATTAAAATCAATGTTAAACAGCATAATTCAGTCTAAAACATATCGTCAGTTTAAAGCTGTTTTATTGTGGAAAAGCCCGGAAGTTCTCAGGAAATCAATGCCAAGCTTTTATTCTGAAAAATCCTTTATCCGGTTAGCTTGTGACTAATGTTGCGTTTTCTGAATGTAAAGTGAAAATGACTTGGAGTGTTACACACCAAATCGTACGGACTTTAACACTACATCGATAGACGTTAAGATATTATTACTGCTGAATATTAAATGGTCTAGTTGATCGTAGTGTTTACAGATACGTGAGAAGCTATGACGTCAGAGGGAATTTCCGTAAAATAAGAACTGCCGGAGCGGAACCACTAGGACTTCTAAACTAAGTATTACAGCTGTTTATAAGGTATTAAATAGAAAGTCATGACAGAGATAATGAGGAGAAAATGCTTAAGGAAGTAGGCAGAGAATATCAATGTCGAAATCATCTGTGCTCTCGCGATATCGAACCGGCAAATGAGTAGGGGGCCACCCACTATTTGCACAGCGGGAGACGACGAGACATGGATAAAAACAGCGGACAGAGGACCGCTCGGCCCTTTTTCTTCGCTGCAGCCTCCCTGAAGACAACGCCGGCTTTGTCTCTCCATTACCCATGCTTGTTATTCAACCACGTTACTTAATTAAACTACCCATTTGAACCTTTTCAGAGACTCCATTAGTCTCGTTATTTTAAGTTTCTTTCCTGGGAGCGAGAAGATCACGATTTATCAACAGGTCGGAACTAGGCATAGTGGAAACGCAACCAAAAACGGGCCCGGCACGACACGGCACGCTTAAACCGCGCTCCGCGCCATGGTGGAAATGCGCCATAACACCCATGAGAAAATATTCCAGATTGTGTGCCCAGGTCATAAGCGTCAAGAGGTATGGAGACATCACCACGAGGCCACTGCACATGGTGGAGCAGAGAGGACGTTGGGCTCTCTGAGACGGCACTTCTTTTGGGTCGACATGGCGAAAGAGGTGCAGGTTTTCCAGTCTGGGTGTGTTGTTTGCAGCCTACAGAAGGACAGGTTAGAACCAAGGGCCCCTTTAAACCCTGTTGTTGTCACTTACCCCTTAGAGGTAGTAGCCCTTGATTTCCTTTCCCTCAGCAGGACTAGTGACTCGTATCAAAATATTCTGGTTATGACAGACATGTTCACACGCTACACTTGGGCTGTGCCCACTCGGGATCAGACGGCTAAAACTACAGTACGTGCTATTTGGTCCCACATTTTGAATCTGACCTGCTAAAAGCAGGACTACCCCATACCATCTTGCAGGGAATGGACGGGTAGAGCGAATGAATCAGACCCTTCTTAACATGCTCCGTACTATGGAGGCTGAAAAACAGAGTAGGTGGCCAGAGCTGTTGCAAGCCTACAACAACACAACACATAGCACCACAGGGTTTTCCCCTTCTTACCTGATGTTCGGCCGGCACCTCAGACTCCCTGTAGATGTTGGGTTAGGTGTCATACAGGAGAAACCAGAGGGTTGGTTGGTAGGCTGGGTCCAGCCTACCCACACTGACAGGTGCACTTGACATGTTATTTCTCGTTGTTATTTACGTTATGCTTCGGTCCTTAAGTATGTGATTACTAAATGTTTAGCTATCCTTTCACATGTCATACAAAGTATGAAAGGCATACATCTTAAAATTATTTAATTGAATGTGAAGGGTATCAGCCAAAATCCTATCCTTCCTAAAGAAAGAATGTCATACACCCTTTCTCCAAGAAACCCACCTTGCTGATCTTGAACACATTCAATTGAGGAGGAGCTGGGATGGCCAGGTGTTCTACTCTTCTCACAACTCTAAAAGCAGGGGGGTTGCTGTTCTCCTACATCGCTGTCTGCCCTTTACCCTTGATAGAACAGTAACTGATAAAGAGGGCTGTTATGTACTTTTATCAGGCTACTTGTATGTTAACTAGTTGTCCTAGGCTGTATATATGCCCCTAATGTATTTGAAGCCTCCTTTATCCCACAACTTCTCTCAGATTTGGCAACTTTTTCTGTCACAACTAATGAACCTGTTGCGAGGGGCGTACATCAGGGGTGCCCACTTAGCCCTCCTCTCTTTTTTTAGCGTCTTGAGAAACTCCTGCTAATTGCTCGAAAGTGTATTTTACACAGATGGATAAAAGACACCCTTCCTAATGTTACGCGCGGCAGTGGTTTAGTCTGTAGGGGCTCGCACTTTGGACTGAAGGGTCGCCGGTTCACATCCCGATCGGAACAAGCTATAGTTTGACTGGTGAGAGAGAAGCCAGCTCACCTCCTGGGCAACTGCTGAGGTGCTCTTGAGCAAGGCATATATATATATATATAGTGTGTGTATAGTGTGGCTATATATTAGCCATTCACAACACTATCTTTGAATGAGTACAACATTCTTAAAATACTTTTTACAAAATCTCTTTAGTCTGCTATAATATATTTATGATTACTCATCATATTTTTTTGCAGTATCTCTGTTACTTACCATGGTGGTTTCAGCAATGGAGCCAAAGCTGTTTATGAAAATGTTACAGGACACGTTGACTGGAGGACCTGCAGAGAGAGGGGGGAGATGTTTTGAGTTATATTTTTCAAAAACACTATATGTACATATTAGCAAACAATTTCCCTATAACACCAATATGTTTGAAAGCATCAAAATGAATATGTTGATCAAATCTCAACCCCAGCCGGAGTCCGGCCCTGATATTACAGAGCCAGCTCACCTTGCCTCGCTCTGTCTACTGCTGTCAATCAGTGTGGCATGTCTCAGCAGCCATGCCCTCAGCTCCGCCTCTTTGCTCTTGTTAGGATTAGGCGGGAGCAGGCGGGAGTAAGGTGCTGATGTCACTGCCAAAATTATGCCGGTCGGCTCCGCCCATTTTGGCATTCACAGCTGCTCTGCAGAAAGGGGGAAGAGCCTAATCCCAGCCTTTCATAAAAAGGGCTTCTCGTTGTTTTAAAAAAATATTACGATCACCATGTTTTACCACCTTTCTATCTCCGTGGACCTCCAAAAGCCAGACGAGTACCCGAGAACGGATCCTGGACAGGAGCAGGAAATGGGGAAGAAGCAGGGGCTGACTCCAGACAGAACACACCGAGACGTATGGTGTCAGGCTGGGAATTGGGAGGCAGGGGGCTAGCATGCCTGGGGCTAGCAGGCCGGGAATCACATGTCGAGAGGAAGTCCATAGGCACGTTCACACCGGAGTACTTTTCCCACAATAGTTCATCAGAACTACGATATATTTGCGTTCACACCAAAAAAAAACAGGAACTAAAGTAGTTCAAATTAGTTCATCTGACCCGCTTTTCAGTCCCTGCTAGAGAGCAGGGACTGCCGTGGGAGAAAATAGTTCATACGTCTGATTGGCTGTGCGGAATGCAAACCACGCCCCGTTTAACTCTGATTTTTTTTTGGAGCGGCCATTGTATTTGCTGGCATTATTAGCCCAGCACACCAACGAGAGTACTTTTGTGAAAGCAGTTATTATGGCAACAATAAGAATACGAAAATCATCGGAGCGGTGGAGTGATGAGGATGTGTCGGCACGTCTGGCGATTTACTCGGAGGATGGGATCCAGCAGCTTCTACTGAAGGCAGTTTCCAACTGCAAAATGTATCAGCGTTGTTCGGTAAAGTTAGCCGACATGGGAATCTTCCACAGCGCACACTCATGCCGGGACAAAATATAGAAACTAAAGCAGGACTACAAACAAAAAAAAGACCATAATAACAAGAGTGGTAACGGCCGGAAGACCCGTAAATGGTATGATCGATTGGATGCTCTGCTCGGCGACAGACCCTCATTCTCCGGCGGATTCAGTGGCCTGTGAATTGTCCAACGACGACTACTAAGAAGGTAAAATAAACTACATGCACTGCACTGTTTTAATCTGCACAATACTGGTCTCAGATGTACTTTTATTTGCTCAGTAGATCGAGCTAGCCATGCTAGCCAGAACTGGCTAACACTGCTAGCCAGTTCAGCCTAGCATGGCTAATAACATCATTCTCGGCCGCTATGAAAACGTTTTTGACTTGTGAATAAGTGTGTAATGTTTTCTGTAATTTGCTTCACTAACTCATGGCACTAATCGTGTGTTTCAGGCGAGGCAGGACAACTCTCTGGATTGGAAACAAGTGAGCTTTCCCCTCCGGATCACAACAGCAGCACTTTCTCATCTCCTTTTCAACCATCCAAACACACTGTAACTACTCTGGTCTTGAAAGAACGTTACGCATCGAACTGATCTCCACTAATCACGTTTATTTCCTTCTTGGTACAATTATGAAACACCGTGAAAATACATCGTTTACACTTTTAGCGCCCTTTTCACTCTCATAAACATCCGGGCTAGAGGTCACATGACTGCCGGTAAGAAAACTTATCATTTTTGGACAAAGTTCAAGCGTTCATTAAGCACTCTAAACAAATATAAAACAATAAATAAGGGCACTTTGAGCGTCAGCTATTTGATGCTATCTTATCTTCTACTTTACACTTGCATTTTGTACACTGTCCCTGTGTGCACCATGTCCAATGTTGTCTCTGTTGACAACCTACTAGGCGATTAAACTGATCTTGTATCTTGCATATTTCACATTAGGAAAGCGGGCACGGGATGACAGCTTCCTTGACACCATCATGGCGATGGACTGCCGTGCCATGGTCAGCAAGGAGAATGAGGACCTGCGTGCCAAGGAGATGCACGACGAACGGCTGCTGCATTCACACAAGGCCCAGGAATCGGACGACCAGCTGCTCATGGTGATGGCGCGCCAGGTGGAGCAACAAAATACCTTTCAGGCTGGGCTTCTGGCAGTGCTAAGCGAGCTGATTAAATCCAACAGGCCTTCAATACAAAAATTAAGAAAACTTGTCGTCGTTGATAAACTGTACAATGACTTGTTGGGAGGCGTGTGGTGCAGTGGTCTGGTGCGTTGGTGTTCGGATCAGGGGAGCACAGGTTCAAACCCCACTGCAGTCAGGATGTCGTTGTGTCCCTGGGCAAGACACTTCACCCCAAATTGCCTACACCTGGGACAGTTCATTTTGTATTATTGTGATTATATATATATGCCACTGTTATTAATACTGACACCTAACTTTGCACTAAGGTGTGTCTGCTGCTGAGCCTACCTATTGTTATTATATATATATATATATATATATATATTGCCACTGTTATATTGTTTTGATACTACTGACACTTATTGATCTGCTGCTGATAAATAAAAGAGAACCTACATGGCGATTAAACAGATCCTGTATCTTGCTTATTTCTCCTCTGACACTTTATCTTTACAGTGACCTGTGTAGCATCCTATACATCACATGTAAGTGATTATTCTGATACCATCATGTTTCATCGGTTATAAACTGGCGAAGCTTTATTTATTGTGTCCCACCCCAAATATGTGGCTTTGAAAAAGATCATTTCATTGTATTTCAAAATGGCGTCCATCAACACAAACACTATTTATAGAAAGAGAAATGGTTAAGTTTGTAATTACCAGTGTTGTGAGTTCAATATTTTAATTAATTATAGTAAGGGAACATCTTAGGAGTTAGTGTACTGAGTTCCTCTCAGGAGGATATATAATAAAGGTGTGTTAACTGCTGAGCCTATTTACTGTGCAATACTTTTTTCCATAATCACAGTTTTATTCATTTAGATTATGGACCTCTAAAACACATCTGCCACATCAGTTGAGTTTTGACATACCACAACCAGCCAGCCAGTCTTAACTTTGATTGTTATCCTAACCCTCAGAGAAAGAGACATGTGGTGTGTTGTCTTTTTTCACCTGTATGGTGTGGTTCTGGGCGACAACACACAGTGAAGATGATCTGCTGCACGGCACTAGCATCATGACTGTCTTTGTTTAAACCAGCAGCAGTGCAGCGGTACACAGACTAACCTGTGTGTGTGTAACGTAGTTCTTCAGGTGTGTATGCTTAACATGTATGTATTTATCACAGTAAAGATGGTATACAAAAGCTTTTTAAAGAGCTTTCAATCTCATCCCATTGTCTTTAACACACATTTAACATAATAATATACTCATATTAATATACAAATATACAGTATGAGTACTGTTTTGATACTGACATGTTATCTTTGCACTAAGGTGTGTCTGCACTATTGTAATTTTGTCTGTTGACTGTGGTAAATAAAAGAGAGAACCAAATGCACTGTACAAAAGATCAGCTTTATTGTCAATTTACAATTTCCATGCTGTTCAGATGTCTCATAAGGGCTGTGCGCGTGTCTTGCCCCCCGGCGATTTTTTTAGGCACGGGTACACACTCCTGGTTGTTGGTGTTGCGTCTCCTCAACGTTGCTTCCAGGCGAATACAGAGGAGTTGAAAAGAGCCCTTGGACATTCGTAAATCTTTGATCCACTGCACATTGGTGTACGTTGTCACCACCTTCTCCCAACAGGCCGATGTTCTATTGTTCACCCAGAGAGAGCGCGGGACACGACGCGTTCCGTAGTATTCGCATATCTGGAATACATACAAAGACACAAATTATCACTACATAACTCCATAAATCCTACATTAGATAGTATTAATGTGATTTAATGAACGTACCATTGCTGTTCTTTGGGCGTGATAACGGTCATCATTCTCAGCTGTCCTATGGCGAAACATGTCCATAGCGTGTGCTTTTCGTGGTCCAATCCTTTTGTTAAGGCTTCTTAACCGCCTTCGCCTCCGACTCAGCATTTCTATTGCATTTGAATGGTCGATCTGTATTTGTATTTGTGGCTGAGTTATTGGCTTAAATAACTCAGTTACGAAGCTGTATAACACGAGCACCAAAACGTCAACTCCATACCGTGTCTGAGGTCGGAAGGTAAACAGAAGCATACAGCGGAAGCGGAAGTTTTTTTTCTTCTTCTTCTCTCGGTTTTTTGGCGGATTGCAACTTTAAGGTGCATACCGCCACCTACTGTACTCGCCGTGAAGTTATTTGCGGCCTGCCAGTAAACCCAAAGCAGAAGAAGAAGAAGTGACGTCAGCGGCTCATTTGCCTAATCCACCCCCAGGAACTCATTTTGGTGTGAACGCGATCTGCTGTAGTTCATCAGAAGAGCTCTCATGAACTAAAGTTCTCATGAACTACTGTGGGAAAAGTACTTGGTGTGAACGCGCCTCATAATCCAGCCAGGTAAGAACTTCACTAAACATGGCTTCTCTGTTGCCATCTGGTGCGCCTCTGCCAGAGCAGCCTCTTTCTGCTGAACACTGGACGCTCCCCTCCACCTACCATAACAGCAAGCCAATAAAAAGGTAAAACTAAGTAACTCCACCTCAAATGGATCATCTGCTGGGTCCATCTTTGGTTAGATCCTTCTGTCAGGGTTGAGCGAAGCAGGCAGGACCCAAATGCAGATTTCACAGAAAACACCTTTATTTAAAGGCTACAAGAAAAAATACAAAGCTCTTCCCAGTGAACACAGTCAAGGACAAACAAGGATCTAACAATGACAGACAGAAAAACCAGAACTTAAATGCACACAAGACTAATCACAAAAACAAGACACAGGTGAGGAGGGAGGAGAAAACACAGGGGCACAATCGGGTAATCAGGCAGGAGGGAACACAGACAGAAAGCAACAGGCAAGATGAACACTTTTCAAAATAAAACAGGAAACCAAAGACAGAATAAGACAAGACAAAACACAACACCGACAGATCGTGACAATGTAGCTTTTTCTGCATGTAAACGGTCTGCAGAGTCACAAACTCTAACACAGAAAAGACCTGTCTATGCTGCCCCAGAACGCCTCGTTGGGGATTTTTCATTTTCCATTTTTTTCTTCCTGGGTATGGTGACGTAACCATACCCAAATGGACCAATCTGCGGAGCCGTTACGTTACGTTACTTCCTCACACACACTCAATCTTTTCTCAGCTGCAGCTCCGCGGATTTCTCAGCCTGAGACGGCGGAACGCGGCGAGGCTGCGGGTGTGTGTGTGCTCGGGCTAGTTTCGGGCTGGGTTTCGCTGTGTCTCCCCACAGGGAGGGGGGGGCAGGAGCTCCAACAAGCCGTGTAGGACAGAGAGTGAATACACATACTATACAGAGATGCTGTATGAGAAACCAATGTGAGTTTGGAACATTGCACAATGTAAATCTATTCTAGTAGACCTCAACAATGGAATTATGATCAGTAGAAATGGCCATGACATGGGATCTTTAAGTTTAAGAACATGTCTCTGTTTAGCAAACTGACAGAGGGGACACCAGTGGCTGCCAAAACTAAATCAGCTTCTATGTGTTACACAATTGATCGATGCATCACAATGGACTCCACTTTGCCCTTTGTGTTCTTGTTGGAAAATACAGACGGACACAAAGATAGCCAAGTATGTACCTTTAAAATTTGGTCTTATCCTGGCATCATATCCAGATGTTCTGCCCATCAGTTTGTCCAGGAAGTCAGAGGGAGACATTGGGACCGGCCGTGTCTTCGCAGCGCTGTCCACTTCCTTACAGTGACCAACACTGTAAGAAAACAAAACAAATATGTAACAATAATCATCTGTGACATTTTCTCATCAGGGTGTGTTGGGTATTCTGCTTTGCTACTTGTCAACTGAAGTGAAGCATGAAGTAAAAAGATATGATTCTACACTGTATTGAAGTAAACATGTATTGTTTGAACTGTTTTATGTAATCACAAGGGTTTTGATAATCACTTAGAAAAAGAATGTTATTCTCACTTTTAAATTCACTGGCTTAGAGATTCTGTGTGTCACACACCAACATCCTTCTTATCATCCCTAAAAGCCAGATGCGGTCATTAAGTCGTTAAAAGACATCGTTAAATAGGTGAAGGAAAGTTTAAATGTCTGAAGGAGGATAGTTTAGGTGAAAATATCCCCTGGGAAAGGAATGTAGAGTAAGATAAGGTAAAGATAAACATTGACTTTTGACCTGGTGGGGCTTGAGATCTCACTCTCTGGTCAGACCTCTGATTGAACTCGGCCAGAAGCGAATCCAGCCAATCAGGGCACTTGGGGGAGGTGGTCAGTTTAAACAGCTCCTCCCCAGGGGCTCTCTGATTCGCTTGGGAGTAAAGTGGGAAGGAAGAGATGACCCATCTCCGCCCCAAGGACAGATATGAATACTGATGTTTGTGTGTGTAAAAATGCTTTTTTGGTTTGGTGAGTGGCAGGTCCTGATAACTGTGTCCGTATCGCATCACAAACCTGAAGTCCAATTTCTTTTTGGTTTGATGAGTTGGCGGGTCCCGACGCATTTATCCGCATCGCATCACAAACCTAAAAGTCCAGAGTGCTCGAGTACTCTGTATAACTTGTATATGTGTTTGGTTTCCTACTAGAAGTAAACTCAGATAATTTGTTATAACTTTGATTCCTTTCTTAATTTAATAGAGATCCAGCCTCATCCAACGAACGGCGCGTAGCAGAAGTGTTCTACTCCAACAAGCACCATACATCACTGTTGTGACCAGCTTCTATGTTGATGTTATGAACAGCCTGAGGATTAAAACTGCATGAGACCACTTTAGAGTCTAAGATTTCCAACCACAGAGTTGAATGATTTTGGAAAGTAGGCTGTAAAAGAGTAAAACTTGTAAGACAAAAATGCAAACAACACCTGGGGCCTCATTTATAAATGTGGCGTACGCTCAAAAGATGGTGTACGCCAATTTCTAAGCAACCTTTGCGATTTATAAAAAACAAACTCATACGCACAAAAACGGGATAGATCAGAAACTAAGACACAGTTGGCAGAAGGAAGAATGGAGAGAAATATGTGAAAATAATACCATAAATAAAATGTTACCTCTCATTTATATATGAAGAATTCATCTGCAAAAATTGATTAAAGCCAATCTTAAAATGATTAAACAAACGCCTGTTTGCGACTCTTGAGTGCACACAAATGATGTGGTAAGCAGAAGGACAGAATTACGTCTAAACTGATACCGTTTTGCATTTGATAGGTTGTATAGATACGAGCATGGTTTTATATACCATCATGTTTAATCCTCCTTCAACCTGCCCTCACGGAGAGCTCTGACACAGGGGCAGACACAGGCAGCCTAGTGTAGAGCTGCTGCCCGGCCCATGCCTCAAAACACAAACACACACACACACACACACACACACACACACACACACACACACACACACACACACACACACACACACACACACACACACACACACACACACACACACACACACACACACACACACACACACACACACACACACAGTCTGCTGTCTGTATGAGTCTGCTTAACGATGGGGATGTGTCTTCGAGGAGTGTGTGAGTAGTGCTCGACATCATGTGGGTTTTTCTCTCTGAAACAGCAGCACAGTATTCCTGCCTGGCAGTGGATGTTGATGCTCACTTCCACTGCCAATGTGTGTAATAGAAGGGATGATATTAGATTAGAAATCACAGTGATTAGATTCCTATTGAGTTTGGTGATCCTTACACTATTATGACAGTGAGTGGTCTCTATTTAAATGCAATGATGTTTGCCCTCAAAGCAAATGGGCTCCATGTAATCAATATTGTTTTAATAATGATAATTATATTTTTTATTATTATTATTATTATTATTATTATTATTTAAAAGTAAAGAAGTATGGGCTTCGAAATGTACTCAAGTCAACAGTAGCCGTAACTAACTGGTAACTGGACCTCACTTTATATTAATAGAAAATTAAAGAACTTCTATTTCAAACTGTAACATTCAACAGTCAACATTGTCATTGTTAGCCAATGAATGTATCCAGGCTGAACAACCACTATTTAGAAAATAAGCAGAGAAAAACATAGTGTAGTGGGGACAAGGAATAAACAAAATATTTGCCATCACCTAGATGTCTCTGTTTTCAAAACACACTGACTCTAAATAATAATGAACACGCCACCAAATGCAGATTGAAACTAAAGTAAAATGTAAGAAGTAGAAACGGGGGGTTACGTATTGTAACCCTAGTTCTATAAGCACAGGAGGAGCCCTCTACTGGACTCTATGGGTACTACTCTCATCAATGATACTTGAGCGTTCACATACTGAAGTTGTATAAACGTAGCCGGCCAATCAGGGCGAGGCTACCTGAATGTGTGCGCAGGCCCACAGTATATAAGACAGCTACACCTCCTGACTGTCATCCTACACCCTCTTCAGCGAGCGGCATAGGGAAGACAGGGCCCCTAGATAGAGGGCTCCACCTGTGCTTAAAGAACTAAGGTTACAATACGTAACCCCCCCGTTCTATCTCACACAGGCTCCGCCCTCTACTGGACTCTGTGGGTACAGTGGGTGGAGCCCCGATGAATAGCCATCGCACCCCAACTTCCTATCACCCGGTTGTGACCGTGGAGAAGTCGGGGCCGCAGCTTACTTTGCTGGGTAGAGCCTAATTGGTCTGAATAAGCCCATAGCTCCACCCTGCTGCCAGGGCAAGTGACTACACACTGCACACCACGTTTCCCAGGTCCCTACGGAGCATGGGAAACGTAAGTGTACTATGTCCTCCACACTCACACGCTTACCTCGTGTAGAGTGTGCACGGACCTCAGCGGGGAGAGTCTTCCAGACCTGTATGGGGCTTACTGCGCACCACGTTTCCCAGGTCCCTAAGGAGCATGGGAAAATGTAAGTGTATTATGTCCCAGGGGGTCAGATACAGCTTACCGACCCACAGCCCCCCTCTTTTCACCAGTCCTGTGTTGCCCCAGCAAGCACAGACGATGAGAAGGAGCCAGACATGTCCAAGAGATAGAACCTTATGAACGGGCTTGGCGTAGACCAAGATGCCGCCGTACATATGTCCTCCACACTCACGCCGTCGAACAAGGCTGTCGACACAGCCACACCACGTGAAGAGTGTGCACGGACCCCAGTGGGGAAAGGCTCTCCCCCTGTATGGGGTGGAAGACTAAAGCCGTCTAGCTGTATAACCTTTCAGGGAGAAGAGCTCCAGAGGCTCAAACGGTTCTGTAACCAAAGCCTCAAGCACCAATGGCAGTTCTTATTGTGGGGTGGAGACATGCACCACTGGGCACTGTCTCCTGATCCCCTGCAAAAAACGCTTCATAAGCGGTTGGCTAAAGACTGGTCTGCCGCCAAATCCCTCATGACAGGACGAGATGGCTGCTGCATACACCTTGACCGGTGTTGAGAATCAGGGTGGAGGATGTGATGTTTCCCACCCGCACTGCCTGGGGTGTGCCCGTCAGGAAGTTCAGGATCCAGTCACAGAGGGCGCTGTTGAGGTATGTTTTGTAGAGTGTATGTGTGTGTTGTACATTGTGTAGGTGTGGGTGTGTGTGTGTGAGAGTTGATGTGCCGGGCAGACAGGCGGGTCTCAGTAGCTTAAGGTAGTATCTGACGTTCAAGCGATCGACTATCCCTTTGCAATGTAGCATCATATTGGATAGGGGCTGAACTTGTCCTGGATTGGAATTTTTTCGATCATTTCCCTAGGAGGAGTTTGCAAAAATGTGCTTAAAAAACATGAAAAACACAAATATTTGAAAATGGCCGACTTTCTGGGGGGCGGGGCTAAGGGAAGGCAATTTGAAATATGTGTGCAATCATAATAGCAACGTGTATACAGTGTTTCGTGAATATCGGAAAAACTATATGCGAGTAGTTTGGAGTAATTTGCGACTTGTAAATCGTCAAAAATGGTGTATTCGCTGTTAACTAACGACCTCCACGATTGAGCTATCAAAAATTTGCTTCACAATTTAGCATCATATTGGATAGGGGCTGAACTTGTCCTGGATTGGAATTTTTCCGATCATTCCCCTAGGAGGAGTTTGCAAAAATGTCCTTAAAATGCATGAAAAACGCACATTTTTCAAAATGGCCGACTTTGTCGGGGGCGGGGCTAATGGAAGCTAATTAGAAATATGTCCGCAATTCCATGAGGAATGTCTGTGCCAAAATTCGTGAAGTTCTGAGAAACATAGGGGGCGCTAGTGAGCAGTTTCTTTTTAAATTTAGTTTTTTTTTTACATTGTCAAAAAGGTCGTGGGCTGTGACATGTGCCCCAAGTTTTGCGTCCGAAGCTCATTTTATGCTATCGCATTTTAAAAGAAAATGTATAGGCCACGCCCACATTAATTACAAATAAAAAAAGTAGGTGGAGCTTTGGGTTCCAAGAGGATTATTTGTAGAACAGGTCCACCCGGATATGTGTGCAACATTTCAGGTCATTCGGAGTTACGGTGTGATTTTCATATGTGGCGCTAGCGAGCACATTGGACAATTTGAACCCATTGACTCCAGAATATTGTAGTTTTCACCAGTCCTGGCGTCCGTGCAAAATTATACAACTTTTGAAGCGTCCTAAAGGCCTCAAAAACAGGAAACGCCAGCAGAAAAATAATAATACCTAGGATAACAATAGGTTCCTCGCACTTCGTACTAGGACGCCGTTGGGTCCTAGCGCTCCGTGCTCGGGCCCTAATAATAATAATGGGTTTAATTTAAAACACACTTCATATTTGAGTTCAAATCCCGAAGTGCTACAAGCAGTGAGCATGGAACAGTATAAAACAGTACACAACACGGTAGAATATAATAAAAAGCAGTAAAAACAAACAATAAAAAAATAAATAAAATAGTAGTAATAACAAAATAAAAGGTCTAGGAAAAGGCTTTATTGAACAGATGGGTTTTGAGGCCTTTAAAAGCATCCACGGTCTGTGGTGCTCTCATGTGGTTGGGGAGAGCGTTCCACAGACTGGGAGCAGCCGAGCAGAAAGCCCGGTCTCCCATAGTACGGAGCTTGGTCCTGGGGGGTTTGAGGAGGTTGGCTTTGCTGGAGCGGGAGGTTCGCAAGGAAGTATGAGGGGTGAGGAGTTCCTTGAGGTAGGGAGGGGCAGTTCCATGGATACACTGGTGGGTGAGGAGGGAGACCTTGTATTCGATCCTCAGTTCCACGGGGAGCCAATGTAGTGATTTCAGGATGGGGGTGATATGATCATATTTGCGCACCCTCATCAGGATCCTAGCAGTGCTGTTCTGAATGTACTGGAGCTTCTGGATGCTTTTGTTAGGGATCCCGATGAGGAGTGCATTGCAGTAGTCCAGCCTGGAGGAGACAAAGGGGTGGACTAGCTTTTCGGCGTCAGACAGAGTGAGTGTGGGGCGGAGTTTGGCGATATTCCTGAGGTGATAAAAGGAGTTCTTGCACAGCTGTTTAATGTGAGCCTCAAAGGTCAGATGGGCGTCCATTTTCACACCCAGGTTGGTGACTATTGAGGAGAGGGTAATAGAATAAAAGCCCAATGTACCGGACAGAGGCTCTAGACTCCTTTCCTCGCACCAACGTTCAGTCTGCCTGAAGCAGAGACGTCTGTCTGTTCTCTGACAGAGTGGCACGTAGCCTTCCCTCCTTCTCGATGGGGCGTACACCTCTCTCTCGATGGGGGCGTACATCTCGCTCTCGATGGAGGCTGCATCCACTGATTTTCTTCCAATTGACTGCAAACCCCCAACTTGGTTAGGTGTAAGATCAATTGGGCTGTGTGGAACATTGCCCATTCCCTGGACCTGGCCATGACTATGAGGTCGTTGAGATAAAATAAAACCCTCATGCCATGGTTGTGAAGCGGCTAAAGCGCTGTGGTCACACATTTGCTGAACGTGCATGGGGATAGGGAGTAGCCGAACGGTAGTCTGTTGTACTCGTAGGCTACCCCCTGGAAGGCAAAACGCAAATACTTTCTGTGCTTTGGAGCAATTTTGATATGAAAGTAAGTGTCCCTCAGGTCGATGGTTTGTGAACCAATCGCCCGACTGCACCAGTTCCAGTAATTGTTTTATGGTTTACATATGGAACTTTTTGCAGACAATGTGCTGATTCAGGATGCGGAGATCCAGAATGGGTCTGAATTCTCCTGTCTTCTTGGAAACCAGGAAGTACATGGAGTAAAGCTCCTTTTCTCTGTCCTGAGAGTGCACGACAGACACAGCCTGTTTTTGCAACAGGGCCTGAATCTCTGTTGAAAGGAAACCCATCTCCTCCTGGGATGATAGATTTGCCTCTCTTATGCCCCTGAATGGAGGAGGGACGCTGCAGAACCGGAGTGAATAACCCAGTTTCAGTGTCCTGTCCATCCACTCTCTCAGTACACAGCTGAGCTTCCATTCCCCATAAAACTGTGTTAGGGGACATGCAAGCAGCTGTGGAGCCGCAGCTAAGAAGCTGTAGTACTCTCTGGTGGCCCACTCCGCCGCCAAACCTTCCATAAAAGGAAGTTTGGCCCATGGGGGGCTGACATAGAAAGGGCCAATTTTCTACTGAGGTCCTTGAACGCACTGCAGCCAGCTGTCGCGGGGCCGCACGCTCCGTCATAATGCCATGATCAAACTGACGGTGAATGCATTAATCGGAACTATCACACTAGGCGAGGTGTGTTTTCTAACAACAACACGCCGGCCCTAATGTCCCTGCACCCGCATTTGACAGCACTTCCTGCGGTTTATCACACTCACATGTGCGCACCCACCGGCTGCCTCCTTTACTGGAGTTACAACGGGGGCGGCGAGTGGGGAACCGTGTCTCATAATGGGTGCCCAGTTAACATCGTATGAAACGGATCTTGCTGAATTCAATGAGACATTATGGGGAAATGTGGAATTGTGGAGAGAGATGACTCTTACTCTGGGATAAATGCAATTGTTTTTATTCAATGCATTCATCACACACACATCACTTTTCATGCCCGCTATTAAGGGCACGAAGGACAGGCCCGGGTCTCTAGAAGTGGCGACTCCATGAAGGTACGATAACTTCTTTCTTCTTCTTTAAAACGTTTTACTTTTCTAAGGATAAACATTGATTTGCATTTAACTGAGGGAAATAAGTATTTGATCCCCTTGCATGTGTTATGGTGGAGAAACCCTTGTTGGACGCACAGAGGTCAAACTCTTCTTGTAGTAGGTCTCCAGGTCTGTGCACATCTCAGGAAGGATTGTGGTCCACTCCTCTCTGAAGACCCTCTCCAAATCCTGAAGGTTTTGAGACTGATGCTTCGCATCTGGAAGCTTCAGCTCCCTCCACAGATTTTCTATGGGTTTAAGGTCCGGAGACTGGCTAGGCCCCTCCCTCACCTAAATGTGCTTCTTCTTTAGCCCCTCCTGTGTTGCCTTGGCCGTATGTTCAGGGTCATTGTCCTGTTGGAAGACCCCTCCATGACCCATTTTCAGTGTCCTGGCTGAGGGAAGGAGGCTATCGGCCATTATGGTGTGTAGTGTGTTATCAATAGTTTTCTTGGTGACTGTGGTCCCAGCTGCCTTGAGATCATTAACAAGTTCCTCCCGTGTAGTTCTTGGCTGATCCCTCACCTTTCTCATGATCATCAATACCCCACGGGGCGAGATCTTGTGTGGAGCCCCAGACCGAGGGCGACTGATACTCATTTTGTGTTTCTTCCACTTCTGAATAATGGCACCAACAGTGGTCTCCTTCTCACCAAGCTGCTTTCTGATGGTCTTGTAGCCAATCCCAGCCTGGTGCAGGTCTACAATCTGGTCCCTGAGGTCCTTAGACAGCTCTTTAGTCTCGCCCATGGTGGAAAGGTTGGAATCTGATTGATTGATTCTGTGGACAGGTGTCTTTTATACAGTTGATATTAGGAGTACTTTTTTAAAGGTAGAGGACTTATGTAACCGGTCTGTGGGAGCCAGAATTCTTGTTGGTTGCAAGGGGATCAAATACTTATTTCCCAGTTAAATGTAAATCAATTTTTACGTTTTATATGATGTACATTTCCGGATGTTCTTTTTGATATTCTTACTCTCACCGTTAAAATATACCTGCCATTAAAAGTATAGACTGTTCATTTCTTTGTAAGTGGTTACACTTACAAAATCTGCAAGGGATCAAATAATTATTTCCTCCACTGTACAAGTACACATTTCTTATTATAATTTCAGTTGTGCTGTTATCCTGCTAATGAACAAATTAGGACATCACAATAATAAGGAACAAAGACATTCTAATATTACTCTCTACTGCAATATGTATGAAATAAAGAATATAGGAATAATAAAATAACAATTCAACTCAAATATTGCCCTTCCAAGATAAACGCACCAATCTGATACACTAGAGATCAACATTAAGGGGCTAGATTAGATAGACATCTTTTGCTCTTGTAAAACTTTTATCATAAACACATTTTGAGTATAAAAACGATCATAACCCATCATAATGCACACACCCTCAAAGCATGGTTAACGAGACGGGCTCTGAGCTTCCAAATGGTCGGGTGGTCTGCCGACCCTGCTGCAGACCCCCTCGCTTGAAGACAGCCTCTCTGGGAAGCAGCAGGTCCAGGTGATGGTGGGAGTGGAACATCTGTAACACTGCACTGATTTGGAATGCAGCAGGTTTTCTATGAGCTGAGCACGCATTTGAATTACATTTTATTTTAAAAGCATTGTTTTGTAAACATATGCATTGTTAACCTGTTAAGCCCGAGAGACCCCGGTACCGGGGAACTGCCGCAACATCTTGCAGGAAACAGTGTCTGAGGGCATGTTCATTTAATAAACTATGAATGTTTTATATCCATGTAACGGGAACAAACTCATCTAACTGATCATTTTTTTTCTTTTTTCAAAAGAAAACCCACAATGCTAACACTGAGCCTCTGAATTAGCAACGAGCGAAAAATGCTAACACCTTACTGCACCGAAAATCACTCACAAAACCTTATTATTTATCTTTTCACCACATCCAACACATCGATTCACATCGTGAGGTGACACAGAATCTATTGACACCGACATTACCACTGAATTATACGTATTTGCGACGTTATAAGCAAAAACGGACATCAAAACAGGTGACGCTAGGTAGCTAAAAATGCTAACATTTTTACCTTGGCTCTGTAGTCTCTCCAAAGTGGTATTTAATGGCATTAAAACGATAAAAACGCTGCTGAAGTTAATCCATAGGTTAATCTAATGTGTCTGTGTCCCTTTGAAATGATTTCTGATAATCCATAAGCATTAAAACTGCTTTTCCGTTTCCAGATGTCAAAGCTAGAGATAGGTTCACTCTGATTGAAAATTACATGCGCGAAGCCCCCACCTTTTCTCTTCACAATGTGTGAGTGTGGGGGACTCCCCCTTCAATTCGATTGACTCTAACGGTCAGAAAGAGGTGTCAACCATCAAAATCGAGCAAGGGGGGCCAGAGATATGGAAAATCCACCCAAATGACCCCAGAAGTGGTTTCTTTTTGCTAAATCTCTCTAAAAAGGTTAAATGTCACTTGTTTTGCATCAATCTTGATACAGGGTACATATTATATGTTGTACTTTGGATTCCTAAAGCTTTTAGTCTACTAACCCATCATCCAAGGGTGGTTTTCACTATAAGTAAAAAAGAATGTTTGGACGGACACTATAATTTACAGTTTTTTACTATGTAAAATCTGAATTTTCTTTAAAATAAAAAACATCTATATTGATTCTGACTTTTCTACATCCAACTCACAGGTTTATCATTACTTTGAGAAAAAAGATTATTAATTTAACCCTTTTAGAAGGGAAGATATGGTCATTTGTTCTGGGAATGTCATTTTCGAGCCTGAGACCTGAAAAACAGGCTCAGAGCTTAACAGGTTAAAGAGGTAAGATGCTGATGAGGGAGGAGTGTTGGCCTAAGTGCCGGGAATGGCCCAATTTAACCCCTGATGTTATGTTGTTAGTTCATTTAGTCAGAACATTTATACTGCTGGGACTGCAAAACTGGACTCTGACCCAGCCCACAACAATGGTGTGGCTGGTTTCAAATGTAATGTAACCACTGTCAATGAACACACAATTCTTCAGTCACAATTGACCAAGCATGGTGAATAAACCAGTCTGAGAAGTGTTTCCAGCACGCAGCCACTGTTTACCTTCATCAGATCTGCTAAAAACCACAGCTGCTGCTACAGTCCGAACTCTACACACATCTGATGCTCGCTTATTATTACATCAAATTCTGCCTCAATGATGAAGGAGACGTCCGGTCACCAGGGCACATTATTTCCTCTTTCAGATTGAGAAATTATTTTTTACACTTTACGCACAGTGGAATTGAGTAAGTAAAAACACGGATGCTTATATGAACTGCAAATATTATATATTGTTCAAGAAAAAAAGTCCAGAAGTCTTGTTCCAGTGCCCTCCGGCAGCACGACACAAGGAAACGCAGGAGCCCTCAGCATCCGTGTTACACCGCCTTAATCCTCCTAGTGTGCAACTTAAATGGTGATGTCTAAAGTAAAAAAGCGTAGTCATAAAGAATGTGTGATTCTCCAAAACTGACTGATGGCAAGTCCGCCCCTGCCTACTTATAATACGAGCAAATCATTTAAAAAATGAATTACACATAAAAAGGATGACTTCCATAAATGTCTTAAATAGTAATAATAATGTAATACTATAATTGAATGCTTCAAAAAGAGCACATACATTTGTTTAAATATTTTTCAAGCAGAATCAGAATGTTTTTGAAGATCATTTATCAGTATTTGTGGTGATTTTCTCCAACATAGCAAAACTATGTAAAATATACAGTACTTTAGTACACTTTAAGAATACATATTACTGGTAACACTGCAGAAAGATTTAGAAGATTATTAGATAGAATATTTAATATCCAGGAAGGACACTACTGGCTATCCATATGACAATTGTCCTTTTCTGAATGATATATTATTGAAGAAAAGGACATAAAGACTAGAACTCTTAAAATCCTTTTCTTGTAAATGTGTTTGCTTGAACCGGTTGAAGGCAGGAAACAATCTTGCTTGAATAATCTTGAGTCAGGAGAAACACTTTACAGAATCAATAAATAAATAAACAGCAATAAAGCAATGGCACCTTCTCCTAACCCCCACCAAATACCCCCCCACCCTTTTTTTTTGGACCACATGCATATTTGAACTCAGCAAAAATAATAGAGAGCAATGGTGATCCAGTGTCTGTTCCTGATGTAACCTCATTCATAATCTCAATGGTAACCACGGCAATAACAGAAACAGGGCCGTTCTCAACAGTCGATTGTCTAATATCATCGGTTATTTAATATTTTACTAGCCTTCAACAAGTTTCCCAAATATCACTCAACAAAAGAGGAAGTAAAGTCTGAGGGACTTCACTTGGCAAATACAAAGCCAGAGCTTTCTCCACAGGGCTGCAGATACATCTGCAAGCATTAACATTCTGCTACAGGGAAAACACATCTTTGTATCCAATTACCATTGACTCGGCTGGCTCTAAAATCTTGGAGGTGGGCGTATCTGAAGCTTGGGGATTTTTTGCGAGCAACGCGACCAACAACCAATCACATGAATCTCCCGCCCCCGACATACAAAGCAAAAAAGCCCGAAGTAAACTGGATATAAACTCCCCAAACAGGCAAAAACCTACCACTGTCTCTGCCACCTCCCTCCATGCCTGGCTCCTCCGGTCTGTATCCCGGTAGGTAAATAGGGACTGGTCATAAAGCACCGGGTGATTCCCTACCGCTATAATTAATTTCTCCTCCAATTTTTGGAATATGAGGAAATGACCTGCGGTATGTCTCTCCCAGCATACACGCGGTTTGATTGGCTAGCGCTTGAACTGTCAGATTTGCATAAACGGGATTTGATTGGCTGACGCTTCCACCTCAGCTTCAAAAGTTGAACATTGCTCAACTTTTGAATCCTGAAAATCCTGAAAATCTCCGCTTTGCTTCCCACAATGCAGTTCGGCGAAAAATGAGGCAAAGTGACGTCACCCCATTCAAAGTGAATGGGCAGAAGCGTTGGAAGATTTTTTTAACGCTGCTGTGTGGACGGGCTGTAAGGGGAGGAAAATGCCTCTAACCCAGAGTGTGCACCTGGGGAACTAGACTAGCTCAGAAGTGTCTACAGTAAGAGAGAGAAGCAAAGGCTGTTTTTAGACAGCAGAGATAAGAGCTAAAAAGTGTAATATCATTGCCTTAGAACAGGGCTTTGGTAAACTTTGGACAAAACTGAGTTAATGCCAGCAACTCTCTAACAACAGGGCTGCCAACCTTTGAGTTCAGCTTGGAGTGAGATTTGTACACAGTGTACCCGCGACTCTTACAATGAAGGCTCACAGCATATAAAATGGCATATAGGTGTAAGCAGAGGTAAAGTGCTATTTTATAAGTGGGGGGTTGGGGGGTGGCATGCTCCGGCATTATATTTATTTTTTAAATTTTGAAGTTAAATGCATCAATCTGGTGCACTTTGAGAGCAACATTAAGAGATCTATGGATACATCCCTCAACACCCATATGAAACAGAACTGTACACAGATTTTCTTTTCCTTTATGGATATTTTACAAATCACTCCACTTTTAAACTGTACTCTTGTTTTACTGTCATATAGTATCTCATAACTGTTTTTCATTTATTCTCATAAATGGTGACCAAACCGTTTGAGACTCACTGAGATAACTAGACTAAAGTTAACTATCTAAACACTCAGAGAGTCCCTTACCTCACTGAGCTGTAGTTATCTCTCTCAGTCTGACAGGACAGAGCTCTCCCTTTCCTT